TAGCAGCAACCATGACAACCATAGGAGCATCAAGGAGGATGCCGAACATCTAGTAAGGCAGGTGGAGCCATAGGAGCACCTCTCTCTTCTCACTGGCCAAGGAGTCGCCATGGTCCTGGTGGTGATGTTCTTGGGCACCTAGGACCGGCATTTCTTCTGACAGTCACCTCCCACTGGCCTGAAAAACATGACACAAAAAAAGAGGTTGAAACACCCGTGTTACTGTATAAAGGAATTTTTCTAAATTGTAGTTTTGCAGTGATAGACATTGCTGTCCACACATTGTGATTACGGTCCAGAATTATGATAGCTGCGCAGGTGGCATTCATTAGGTTTACATCAGTCATAGCACTGTGGTAGTTTACCATTACAGTGACATTCTACTGATGCTACACAGCCTGTAGTTGATATTTAATTCTGAATTTTGCACCCAATTTTTGCATTGCAAAATTCTGATGGAGTTTAATAGTACTTTATTGTATACTTAGGCAGACATTACCATCTTTGATAGCCAGAGTGCAAATCTGAGTAAACCCTGCAAATCAAGGTTGGCACTGCTCCAGTCCAGAAAGTGGTCCTAATTCCATGTATTGCAGTTGCTTCCTATTGCTTTATACTGTAAGTGCCAGGAAGATGATGGGTCATTTCAGTGTCACTTCAATCACACTTTCACTAGTCAGAGACCCTGGGGTTAATTCGACAGAGCACTTACTGATGTAGTTGCACTTGGAAGCAGCATAGAGCGCTATATATCTGCACCAATGTGCAGTGATTACACTGCTTCAAAACCTGGCTAGAATGCACCTCTACTGTACTTTGCTTTCACATCTTTAATACCTCTCTGATGCATTTACACTTTGCCTTTTTGATATCCAACATCTATCCTATCTGCTCAAGATGCATAAATGGGCTAAACAGTATGTTAGTGAATTGCTTGTCATCATGTGTACAACTCGTGATTCCACGAGGAAGAAAAAAAAAATACTCGTGTTGTCCTACATTATTTGGTATCAGACTGGATTGTCAGACAAAGCAACTGCCCCTTGGGGTCTAGATCCTCAGGAGCCCCAAAGCCCTTAATGTATGTTGTTTGTGCAACAACTGATTTGTGGTAATTTGATCAACTGAAAATGTGTTTTGTAATATGAGCCACAAAGATAACTGTTCTCTATAACAGCTACAGTTTTTAATAATAGTATGCCTTTATGCTGCAGATATTAAAGAAAAAAACTATGTCATGTTTTGTGTTACAGTCTACCTTTATTCTGCACTCGCTGCCTCTCAAACTGCTCCATCTACTACACCCAGTGAGCTGCTACATTTTCCACAGTGCCTTTACATGACCGTCACACAATGAGCATCAACTATTGTACAGTACCTATCTGTGACTGAAATACATGGTACTGTAGGAGTAAATGTAACAATGTTTCACTTTCAGTGAACCGTTGCCATGAGCTGTGTGTCATGTCATAAACTGTGGTGTGCCACTCATTAATATCTGCCAGGTGAACTGTCATTGGTTGTCCAAACATGCACTCACACACAATTAGTTTTCCCCTTGGTGTGATAACTTGTATTTATGCAAATGAAAGCCAAATATAATGCAACCAATCTTGTGGTGCAGCAGTGGTGTGAGATGATATTTGTGTTGATGGCACATTATAACTGAGCTGTAACTGTGCATTATCTACTGTAAACCACAGGAGCAAAATGTTTGGCATCGTTACAGGAACAGGATTATTGTGGGGTATTTTTCAGATAATTATTATTTAAAATATTTTAAACACAAATTCCAGTTAAAAAGTTCATTTTCATTTGTGGATTAAAAATATAATTTTCAAACATTAAAAGGACAGATTTTTTAAAAATCTATCAAATGATATTGTCAAAACATTGTGACAATATAAAAGGCGTCACTGGCAGTGACGGACCGATAAAGAATTATCACCTGAATTATGTGCAAATCCCCATCTAATTGAGAGAACTTTATAGTGCACTTCAGCTCATTGTTTAGCTGTCCTACATGCAACTTCACTATTGTGTTGTTTTCAGCAAAAAAAAAACTATAAAACCCCAATATTATGTGCCTGCTCAGCACCATAGAGACAGTTAGAGAGTAGTTGGTAAATTCAGTGGAGCATTTAGCAGTTAAAGAAGCAGGCATTTCCCCCTGGAGACAATAAATACCAAAACCAGAGCTAAATAAGAGAGGAAATTCTAGATCCACATTTGCCAGCAGGTGGCCAGAAAGATACTGTATCTCCAAATCAGTCATCATGTTACTCCATAACTCCTGGTTGTGTAAATAAGCTGTGCCACCCCATGTCATTGTTGAGTTAATTATTTTCCATTGCCCCCCCACCCCCTAGTGACCTAAAACAACAACAAAAAGATATCACATGTAACAACTGTAACACTGTGACTGCATTATTATGTGAACAACATATTAGCAGAGCAGCAGCAGCTTCAGTGCTGCATCTCTAGACATCTTGTAGGTCACTGTAAGTGGTCAGAGCACAATACACAATCAAATATATACAATGGAGGAAAACAGACATGGAGCACAAAAATGCTTTGGGTTGCATTTATAGGCAAAGAGAGCTATTATGCAGCCTCTGGAGGCAGCTGGATTGATTAAAATAGGAGTGTATCTGTTCTGTCAGACAGACATGAGAGGGAAGACCGAAAAGCACAACTGAAAGATTTCTGTGTAAACACAATGGAAGGAACATTTAAATGAAACAGAAAACAATCCAGGAGAAGTCTGTGAACACCAGGCTAAAGCCATCCACAGTATTGATTGTGAAGAGGTCAGGAACACATTCATATCTCTGAACAGACACTGGGTTTACCCTCTCCCCCTACATACTGTTCACTAGCAGGGACCTGCCCTCACCTAGGGCAAATGAATGAACTATGAGGACACTGAATGCTTGTGTATTTTTGGTTGCTTGTGTGTTTGATGATTTTGGGGAAGGTTAAGGAGGTTTATGCTGTTTTGGGGCACTGGCAGACCCCCAAAACCTTCTAAGAGGTGGAACGGACTCAGTGAAGTGATTAACCTTGGCTTGAAAAGAGAAGACCGTTGTTATGCAGTGGAGACAGCTGGGAGGACGAAGGAGAGAATAGGCAGAGCTGAAATGGAGCGTCTCTCTGTGTCATCTGCTGACGTGGTGCTAGGGAAGCCCGCGAGGCTGTTCGGTGGGCCCAGAGGAGCCGTCAAATCAGAAGGTGGCCACCAAGTGAGGAAAAGTTTGCAGGTAGCTCGATGCCGAGTGAAATGGAGAAGGAGGAAGAGAAAACAAAACAGAACATGGAACAAAAAGAGGCAGCCAAGTGCCCAGAGAGTGAGAAATGAAGGAATGGAATGAAATGCAGAAAAGGAGCAGCAAGAGGCCGGTGGCAGGAGAATCATAGGGAAGAGGCTAGAGGAGTCGTCATGGACCTGAAGAAAGGCACAGCTCAGGTCAGGTCCTGCTCCCAAACTTCAGATAATTAGGTTATCTCCATCATGGCCACCTGCTATCTTGTGATTAAAATGTCACACTTTTGTGACAAATGAAGCACTGGAGCATTAGCTCAGGCAGAGCACTCGTGTCCTGCTTTTGTGACTGCAGCATACTTGACAATTACAGCTGTGCAATATGGCAATTCCTCATTGTTACGCTGATGATCTTCTAACTGTAAAACAAACTGCTATCAATAGTCACTTCCTTAACATACTGTAAGTGTCTCTGATTGAACTAAGCAAACTCAGTGTCCTGAGGAAGAATCCAGATATAATTCACAGATCTTGAGTGGATTAGTAAGAGGCCTTTTAGTTGGGACTACCTCATCATGCTCATATTATACAGGTTTTTGGATTGAGAAAAGTGTGACTCTTAGCTCCAAGGCAGTTGTTTCTGTTCATGGTAGCACAATGTACTCTACTGTACTGAACTTGTGATGAGTCAGAATCTTAGACTGCTGATATTCTCTGGTTTTCTTATGTCAACAAACCACCTGAATAGATCAGAACAACAGGACATTTATCCAACTGCAAGAAGTGGTTGACAGCTCGAAGAAAGGTAGCTAGTGGTAAATTTGTCAAACTAGTGTTTGCTTTAATTAAAAAACAAAACATCATTTATCCCTTTGATAATTACAATAATTACAGCCTTGAAATTTCCTTTGTCTCTGTGCTACAGGATGAAAGACCTTTAGGTTGCTGACAGCAGGAAAACTGGTATTTTCATTATCTTTTCTACAAAAATCTTTCTTTTGTTGAGTTTATCACTGGTGCAAATCTTTATAAATGACCCAGGAGTGCAACGTGCACTCCAAAAGCTGTGTTTGCACTAATGCAAAGTGCTTTTTGTTTAAGTTTTCTTTTCAACATTCTGTAGGTGGACATTTCTTAGGAGCAACTGTAAAATACACTTTTCATATTGACAGAAAATCTATTAATAATTCATGAATCGAATAAGAAAGCAAAACAAGCATTCTCACTGTCATCAAAGAGCTTTAAATGTGCAAAAATTGCCAAGTGGGCTTCATAAAATATGCCCTCTGACACTCAGAGAAAGACAAGTTACTGTAAAATGTCTTTATAATGTGGCAAAATGACATGGCCGTTAAAGAGAGGGCACAGGAATGTAACTTTTCAAAGTTTCTGAATGACTGAAAGTCACTTGGAGGAATGCCTGTGACACACTAGAAAATGTGCACCTCAAAGTGACATGTCTGTCTACTTTCTTGAGGCACTGTGAGTGAGATCAGTGGTGTTGACAGAACACACCAAACACATCAGCACAAACCACACTACACCTCAAGTATAAATTCTCAGCATATAACACCAAGCTCCTCCTCTGAACATTGCTTTTATTCAGTTTAAGTGCTGTGGGCATGCGCACACTGTATTAACACTTTTATTTTATGGTGGCACTTTACACACTCAGACACTTTACAGTAGAGGTTTGCTCTTCATATTACTGCTCAGGATGGCTGGGTGGACTCTTGAGGGACAAATCAGCATTTCTGCACAGATAAGTAAAGTAGCAGAGAAGATGCTTTAAGTGGACTGGGATCCTCAGTATTCCCTGTTTATCTTACAAATAAATTAGAGAATTAATTTCAGGTGGATACATGCAGGCTCAGACATGAAAAAACAATATTCAGAGTGCTGCATTTTTAATTTTT